CATTTTCGGGCGCTGAAGTTCTACCGTTTAAGAAGTGGGCATATTCGGAGAAGTAGGGCCGTGAGAGCTACACCGCTGGCACACTCCCCCCTTTCTTGATCGCCAGCTTCCACATTAGGCACCCCTAGTGGTGTAGCTCCGCAAAGGTGACCTCTGTAGATAGCTAAACTGAACAGCTATGAGACCAAACACCAATCTTTGCACCAATGGGGACTGCTGGTAGATCATGACGAGCTGCAGTGAGCGACGATCACGGACAAGCCTGGCCCTGTCAAAAGGGGCGCCAAGGTGCATATGTACCAACTTGCGTTCAGGGCGTACAGGCATCAGTCACACGTTACGCCCACGGAAATGCGGTCGAAGAATGTCCACGAGTGCCATTGATGGATACACCTGCTTGCGTTTCCAACAAGTTGATGTGGCTTGTGATCAGGCTTTGGGTCGGGCGCATGTTGTGCGATGGGGTTGGTATAAACTTGGAGGCGCTGGCTTTTGGCATGAAACTGATCTATTTGGACTTTCTTGAGATTATAAACATCGAGAGAGCGGTGAAGAAAATGACCACGATAGCTGGACCATTTACTGGCAGGGTGCCTCGTGCCTACGCCAAGCTGCCAGGGGGTGCTGGAGGATCAGCCATGGAGAACTGTCGTACCATTCTCTTAACGTCCTTTCAGTAAAAAGAGGATCCTTCGAAGCAGGGTGAGTGTGGCACAGCTACTGCCTCGGCCATTTCCAGCGGGTAACGCATCAGGAGGGCGCCCCTCCGTATGCGTCGTGATGAGAGAACAACACAAGCCTTGCCTAGCCCAACGTGGAAAGTACGCTTAGGAAAACGACATACCGGGGGAACATCTGCTCCGACTTGGTGCAAACGATCTGACATATTTACGTCAAGTAATATGATTCAGTACGTGATATGTGTAGGATGGGGGACACAACGCAGTCGACCCTACGCTTGCTCTTCCACTGAGCCACTGAGCTCGAGGGTGGAAGACACAGCAAGGTGAGAAATGCCAAGAAAAAAGATCTGCGTGCACTGTTCGGCCTTGGTGCGAAAGAGCACTCGCTCTCATTGGATCATGGGCTAGTACATCGCAGGCGTTGAGTTGGAATTTCTTGTGCTAGCCGAAGTTCGATCACGGACCGGGAGTGGGGCCTCAGCACATGCGGAGCCGTCTGCCGCTCGGCGCGGGGCCGTCCTTGCACGTCACGACCCACTACTCGCACAGATGGACAGAAGGCTTTCTCGCACTTGGCAGAACGATCTGCCTGGTGGTTTGTAGGGAACAAACAGAAGATTTGACAAGAAGACTTGCAGTGATGGGGGGAAAGGGCCCTCTTGGTGACACGTGCATTGTGTGTGATCATTACGGATGGAGACATGCTAGTGCAGTGCCTCTTCGTTGGTGGTGCTTGTGATGGAGCACATTCATATGTGACCAAGATGTGCTGGACAGATGGAGTTTGTTGGGGTGAGCTGCGCGGGAACCAATGAAAAAATTGCCGGCGAGCTTAAAAAGATGAACCAGATGACAGGCATGGCATATCTGAGATGACGGCTTGACCTTGTACACACGTCCTCTGTCTTTCTCCTGCTTGCTCGCTTCATTGTTCCGGCCATGTTGTACTGACGGACCATGTGCAAAAGCTTGGCTGGCGTTGTTGGACTCGGTGGAGAAATGATTCCCCACGAAAAGCTGATCGAAAACGGTGCCCATGACCGGCGGGGTGGCGGAGTCAATCTCTGAGCCCTGGTGTTTCGAGGAGACAGCAGCAAGGCGAGGAGAAAGGCCAGAATGGAACGAGTTGATCCAGAAAGATCGTCACAGGCAGAGAGACAGATGGAGCCAAGGCCTGGCTTGGCGACAAGTCCAGAACCAATTCTCGGAGGCTCTGCTGAAACGGAAGGCATGATACCATGCTGGCTTAGTGCTTGCCATTTGGATCCTCCTGCAGCCACATCAAGCCACATGGACTCTGGTCGTGCCTGCGCAGGAGATGAGCTGGGCAGGCGACACCGCGACGTGGAATGGAACATTGGGACGATGGACACAGACTGTCCATGGCGATGGGCGACTCGGATTGCGATTGCCCAGCCCAAGTGGTCTGTCGGGGACCCCATCGGGGTGTGTGCAGAGGCCGTGACCCGCGGCGGGCATTGTGATTCGTGGAGAAAATTAGACCGGGTGAGCTCGAGACGACGGCAAAACCTTTACGGCGGGAGCCTCCCCAGACTGGCGTGCGCCTGCCCACCTCCTCTCCTTTCCATTCATCTCCCTTGACCCCTGCACAAGGTGTTGATGGGGGTAGGAACAGGGGGGGGCAAGTGTGGTTCACGCCACTGGCTCCTGCCCTGCTCCCCTCACAGGCGTCCTTTCCCCCCGCACAGCGCAGTGGATTCTTGTTGCTGATTCCCCATCTCGCTACAACGAATTTGGTCCCCACGCTGCCTGCCCATCGCTGCCCACTCTGCCTGCCCGCTGCACACGCCTCCCACCCAGGACGACCCCACCAACCCCGCCATTCTGGCGCGTCCCCCTCGGCGTCTGTACTGCCTCTGCTGCATTTGCAGCACTCCCCCCTTCGGCATCCACGAGCCCTAGGCCCAGCCTCACCAGCAACTCGGCTTCAGCCAGTGGTGGCTTTCTCGTGGCCTATTGACGCAAAAGATGAACGAGCCGAGGAGCGAGAGAAACAGAGGAACCATGACGGGCAAATGCGCTTTCTCGCCCTCTCCATCCCGAAACCCAATTGATTGCTCCGCGGAACCTGGGTGGGTGCTGGTCCCAGCCCACGCCCCTCCTCCGGGGATCACTTTACAGGCCACAGCAGCCTAAATCCGAGTGCACGTTCTGTCATGGTCCGTCGGCTCAATGTTACGTCGCTTCGCAAAACACGGCTTCGCGGCTCTACGGCTTCGATGGTCTGGTGAAAAGACAAATCGATGCTAAAAAAATTCCAAAGCCCCCGACTTGCCCGAATCGAACGCTACAGACGCAGCAGAGAGCAGGACCCTGGTGATTGGAGCCCCTGCCGGCAGCTCCACGCCAAGCTCATCCACTAGCAAACCCCCCCCCCCTCCCCCAGCACACCCCCGGAAGCTCATGTCAAGCATCCACTTCAGCACTTCTCCTGTGGTGGAACAATTCCCACCACCGAGCCATGAACGACCTCGCCGTTCCCTCCACCAACGACAACCACTCGATTCTCCATCCCACCACCACCACCACATCTCCTCTTGCCCCCAGGAACGAACTGGCCCGACATAACGGATAGATTGACCTATCTGGCCGACAACCGTCCTAGACTGATTGACCCCAGTCCAGCCTATTTGCGCCCCCTCCGATACACGCCCTGCCCTACCTGCTTCACCTGCGGTGCCGTCCGCCGCTCGCCGTCCGCCCTCGATTGCGCCGCTTGCGCCAGTGCCCGCTCCTGCGCGCCCAGACTTCTCCAGCTCTCGCCTTGTCGACCTCGACCGATTTTGACGTCCTGTTCTGTGCTCGCTTTCCTGCATCCCATTTCAGACTCCGGCAACCCAGCGACCCAGAAGAGGCTCAACTATCTCCCGGCACACTACAGACCAGCCTTGGTTCCGTTGCTGGAACTCCTTGCGCTTCTTCGGTTCTCGGTGGAACATTTTCCTCTGCGCGCGCGCGAGAGACTTTCGCTTGTTGAATTCCGTCGTCGTCCTACAACCCGACACGCCCGCCTGCCTTGTTCGTCGCCTCACGAACGGACGACCACATCTTCTCCCGGACTTGCTGAAGATCAGCAAGCTCCCACCCTCCCGTGCTCCGCTTTCGTTTCGTCTCAGTCCTTCTTTCTATACATTCTCGGGCCCCTCAGAGACAGAAACTACATCGAGACCTGATTCCATCGCGGATGGCGCAACCACATCCGCCATAGCCTTCCGTGCCGATTCCCTGACGGAACACCCCTTCGCCAGCAACTCTATATTCCAATCTGCAAGCCTCCCTCCCGGATCACGAGCCGTAAACCGTGCATATAGTCGCCGACAAGTACCTCGAATTGGTGGAAAATAAAGCTTGGCTCCACGAAGGTCACACAGCACGACAGGACTACCAACACTCCCTGCCAGGCGTGTCAGCCCATCTTCTTGGGCAGTCACCCCCTCTCATCACCCTCATCCCGTGCCTGACCTCCGTCTTGACTCCTCCGTCTGTGCCTTCCGCGCCCTTCAAGGCCTCACGAGGACCCCCACCCGCCTGCCGTATCAGACTCTTGCTCTGCTGCCGCCATATACCAGGCGCCTGACCGCTTCGGGCACTCTCGCCTAAGGACAACTCACCCGCACCGGGGCGCCCCACTCTTTCGCTCCTCGTCGATACGTCTGTCTTTCAACAGTCAACCCCGCCGGACACCACTCGGCATCGAAGGGAATTGGGACCTCAGTCTGGGCTCAGCAACGCTCATTACTTTCAGCATCACAACAGATACCCGGAGTATCATATCGTCCTTGGCCCATCGTCGACGTCGCTTAGGAGGAACTGATAGACGGGAAAGAAGCGGGATCGATCGCTCACTCACCATCCGTTGTCCGACATCGGTAGCCGCTCAGACCGAGACTGAAGGTCTTTCACCAAGGGGAACATGGCGACAGTACAGCAGCTAGCAGCCGGCCCGACGCCGGCACGACCACGAAGCATTAATGGCGCACGAGATGTCAGCATGGACGTCGACGCGAGTCCCTCCCCCGCCCCGTCAAAATGTCTGAATAAGTTTGGCAGCGGGCCACAAAAGGGCGACACCCGGATCGTTGTCATTGTGTATGGCGAAGGACAGGACAAGATAGTCTCAGTTTTTGCTGACGTGCTTGGCAAGCCCTTCGAATCAAATCTGGATTCAAAGAGGTCAGCCACGCGGACCAGGGAGTCGTGGTTGGCATCGCGGCAGGCCACGCTCAGAGTGACATAGCAAGCCGGGACAAAGACCTCGTTGTGGCCATTCATGCCCATTGTGTCAACCCTCGTATGCCGCCAGACCTTCATCTTTCGAGCGAGTGCGACTACGAGTTCTTGTACACCGAGGCACCTTTTTTCCGGCGGGATCTGTCAAGG